TATTGGCCAATCATATCTTGTAAAATCACGGAATGATCTACAAAAATTAGCCAATCGGAATGAAAGCCCGCTATGCTACTTTAACAGGTTGTTATTCAATTCGAATGCATGACAATCGTTTATAAATGGCTTTTTAATTGTTACTATCATTATTGTCTTCAGAATTGCACTAACCGAATTTAGATTTTGTTATTTTATGCGAAGTGTAAAATCACGAATCTAATAGGCTAGAAATTATTCACATGACTATTCTTAGTAATATTGAATTTTCGCACGATATTTAGATTTTGATTATCTGTACAGGTAAGATATTGGGTTATTGCCTCTAATTGTGCGTCTCGTAGAGACGGTAATTCAATATAGCCCTGAACTGCTTTGTTATTTGATTTATATTTAGTATGAATATAGATGTGTGGTGTGTAGCTATAATATTCGTATAAATTGCTCTCGTTAGTTTGTGTACGGTAATGATCATCTGGCAAAAGATTATCAAGATTATGTCGCTAATTAATTTGTTTGTGTTAAATCAGTGAATATAACGATAAGTTTCAATGTTTTACTATTTTGCTTAATAATTCCATTGATTTGAGTAGAATTATTTGTTAATTAAATGATCTGTGACAAGATTATTATAATTTATGTAATATTAAGAAATATATTGTTGTTGCTATAACAATATATATTGTTGCTATAGCAATTTTACATCCGTGACCTTTTACAATTGATTTGATGTAATAAAACATGAATTTTTACACCAGTATGTAATACAATAGCACTAAATTTACCGTAAGGCACTGACTACAGTACCCCGGGCACTTTTCAATAAATCATTGAATTCCTTGAATAACCACCTGGGTACTAATTATGGAGATGGGTATTATTATAATAGGGGTATTTTACATCGTTTCAATATTATTAGAAAGTGAAGAAAATGTGAATAATCAAAAAATGAAAGCTTAAAAGTTACCTAAGTTGACTTTAGCAGCATTGAATTCTATTTGTTTATTTATTCGCTAAATTCATATACTTCACCGGAACCAGTAACAATTTCATTGAGCAAACTTGATTTGACATAATACCTGAACTAGTTTTTGCCCCATGTGCCCTACTGCTACGACGCCGGATACTCGAAATGTGTCAAATACAGTCTCAGAATCAAGAGTTAATGGTGGTTGTGATTCCGTAGTGCTTGATCAAGATCATATAATTATGTGCCTATTTTTTAAAAAATAAATAATTCATTCATGTATGTCAAATTTATCATGAATGATTATATGCTTATAAAAATTTACCCGCTTCAGCAGTAACAGTCCAGCCATGTTTGGATCTTTTTGCACAGTTACCTTATTTAATTTAGTGACAACCACCAGATAGTGCTCTGTGACAGATAGTGTATGCCCTTGGGCAACACATCTAATAGTTTTATTACTTTCTTTGCTAGTTTTACAATACCCTTAAGGCCTTCAAGTGTAGATAGTTCAAAAATGGCATTTGGAGAAATATCATTTGCTCCATTAAAATTTTCCCAAGTTTTATTACTAATCGGTATTGCAGAACGAATTACAGAGTCTTTATTAATGCTCATTGCGACGCGACGGACTTATAAACTGCTGAAATTATTAGAATTAGCAAAAAGCTTAAAATGTGTTTCACGAGCATTGCAAATATTCGAATGGATGTGATATTTATTAATGTTGCAAGGTCTTATTTATTGCTTAACATTATCTAGAATCATTATGAAATTTACACCTCGTGCAAAAGTTGTAGATTTAATTTGGCGCTTGACTTTTATAGTAAGTAATTTACCACTGAATGGAAATTCTAATGCAAGTCTAGGTATATAGTCATTGTAAATGCAGTAAACCTCTCCAAATTAACCCATTTTCTTATTGTTTCCTAAATTAAGTGTTTGTACCTAAGGAGTGTATTAGGCAACGTTTTTTAACGTAAAAATGCTTTTTTTATTTTTTTATACAGATCAAGTCACTAAAATAAACATTTTCTAAGTAAAATTAAACAAGAACATTGTTTTATTAAAAAATAATTGAGAAAAATCAAACAAATCCAATTTAATTTGTATACAATTGCTAGCCAAGAAATATTGTAATTTGGATTTTATATGTTTTACTACAGTTAAATCTCTCTAAATGCGATATTTACTTTGGTTCAATATATATCAATTTCTCATAAATGCTATTTTTTTCTTATTGTTCTCCAAATGCAAGCTCCCTATGAGTCTCATTTAAGGAAGTTTGACTGTATTTACCCAATCGTTCAATGATCATTACCTGTGCTATGTATTACGTTAAGGATCGTATTGATGAAAACAAACATTCCCGGATGCATGCGAGTGACACAGATCTGCGGTGCTTAAGTATACGCAATATGTTATTAGGATCTATTACTGTACTGCATTAGAATTATTGTAATTTCTATTTACGGTTACAGAACTTACTCGTAATACTGGCTAAGTTTGAGTTTGTTTGTATTGAAATTGTTACAATTTCTATCACAGTCGTCCTCCCATACAATCACACATTTGGGTACATAATTAATTTTTTTAAAAATGAGTTTATAAAGGGGTTGTGCTTATATAGAGATTTTTTTCTTATAAATTAAATCATAGTTTGGCCTAAATAAAATGTGATTAACATATGGTGTGATTATATGGGAGGTGACTATATGAAGGGTCACTATATTAATAATTGTTAAAAGTTTTGTCGCTAAACTTTTTACTCCAGTGACCCGATACGTGGTTATAAATGAGTTGACATTATCATAATTTTTGTAGAGTTACTATAAAAAAATTCTGTTACAAACTTCAGTAACAATAACATGTAGTTTGGTTGAGTTTGTTTGTATTGGAAATTTCATGATAATTATGATGGGATACTGTAAAAATTCTATTACAGGACACCACTCCAGCGACCATAGTATATGATTAAAGTTAGTTCGTATTGGAATTACCGTAAATTCTGAGTTGTATTATATTAGAATTATTGTTTGAGTTAGTATATATTGAAATTATTTGTGATTTCTATCTCCCTACAAAATTTTTTGAAAAGGTATCCTGACTTTCTTCAGATTATCATTTCATTTATCGTTTCAGAAAATGCCCATTTTTCGGAACAAATTCCTGGTCATTTTCGTTAAATTCCAGGTAAAAATCAATCTGGATAATGAAGTACAAAAGATGAAACCGAATTTTACACGGATTGGATTTCTACCGGTATTCTATAGAAATGATCAGGAATTTGTATATAGGTTGTTCCAAAAAATGAGCATTCTCTGGAACGAAATGATAATCTAGAGAAAGTCGGATACTTTTCGAAAACTTTTTATAAGGCATGAGCTACTGTAAAAAATTCTATTAAAACTTTGCTAACTATTCTTTTGTCCATAGAATGTGATTAAGGTTGGGATTGTTTGCATTGGAATTATTGAGAGATTTGTAAAAAAATCTTTTTACAAAACTTAATCACTATTCCAATGATATATAAAGGCTGAATTAGCATTGAAAAAATTTTGTTACATTGTGACCACAATATGTGATTAAGGCTGAGTTAGGCTTATTGAAATTATTGTGATCTCTATGTAGTTAAGGTTGAGTTAGTATTTGAATTAACATAATTTCTATTGTAAGTTGTTGTATAAATTTGGAGCAGAACTTGCTTTTTCGATATGTGGTTACCGCTCTTTTTGATTTAGTTGGATCGACGATCTGCATAATTTTTTTCAGCTTCGTTATATTTTGTGGAACTCATTTTAGAATTCTTATATTTCCCTTTTTTAACTTTTTAATCAATAAAAATACGACGAATATAAAGTAGTTATCTATCTTGCGGTATTCACGGACTCACGGGACTCAAACATTATACAGATCTAGAGGTTGTCGGTAACCGATATTTTGATGTTATTATTATCCAGAATATTAATATATTATGTATAACCGGTTAATCCGGTTAATTTATATAGATATTACACATCGTTATATTACGTTGTGTAGTAACGCGCAATGTAGCTCCAGCTAGAGATCGGAACCGGTTTCAAAAATTCGAGTTTATCACATCATTTACTGTATTAATAATTAATGTGATAAACTCGAATTTTGGTGTGATAAACTCGAATTTTGATGTGATAAACTCGAATTTTTAAAACCGGTTCCGACCTCTAGCTCCAGCCATTAATATTAACCATAGTAATAGCTGCCGCAACAAAATTGGACCGGTAGATCCTCGATTTGGATTGCTAATGGCCGAGGATCTTCAAAATTTTGGCCCACATTACAAAATTGTTTACTAATTTCCGGCCGGAATTAACTTTTTAATTTTTCATTACAAAAATAGAAATTCTTAAAAAATAAGTCTGCATTATGGTAAAATTTGCCAGGAACAATTTTCATTCAATGAACGGCTATGATTTCATTAGTAAAATTATGAGTAATTCCGGCCTAATTTTTTGATCGTGACTCTTAGCCAATCAAAACCGAGAATCTGCCGGTCCAATTCTGTTGCGGCAGCTATGGTTAATGCCCAGCCGTTACTTGAAATTATATAGATTGGATAATACAAGGTTTTTAATGGGCATAGTAATTCTATAAACATTTACCTTTACTTTTTAATTTTGTTTTATCGCGATAGTTTAATAAACTTTTTAAGTATTTAAAATAAACTATATTTTAAGGTTATTATTTTTACTAAGATATACATGTTCATCAATATTTGCCACTTCATTTATTCGCTCTAATTAAGTTGGAACATTGATTAATATAATTAGCTATTTAAGTTCATGAATCATTATTAATTTAATTAGAGTATAAAGAGCATTGGTTTATCCAAGTACAGTATTTAAATAGGCTATTCGTGCTTATTAATCTTTACTATTTAAACTTATATTTTAACTGCGAATTTCGCGAATTAAAAAATGCATGATTCGAATAATTACAAAATCGAGTTATTCGAGTCACGAGCTGATAATCCCAATCAATACAAGTGTAGGTGGTCGCCCTTCTTTACCCGTGAATTATATAAATGAGTATTTTGCAATTTTCAAAGCTGACTTTTCAGAATTTTAAAATATTATCAAAATCTTGTCAATTATTATCAAATTATAAATTATAGCGTATTCTAGCATTTTACCGAATTTATTCAAAACAGTTTATAACAGTATTATTGTATTATGACTTATGTAGTCCCAGCCAAAATTCTGATCCATATAACAAGGAACCGTACAAATTTTTATTCCATTGCATGGTATACAGACACAATATCTCTAACTAGACCTTCCTGGAGTTTTGCTTATTTTTTTGCACAGTAAATATATGAAATTATATCGATATAACTTTCAATCACAAAAGTTATGCCAATAAAAATTTAATGGTGAGCTATAAATTTAATCGGCTTGAATCATTAATGTAAAATATAAGCTTAAATTGCTTTGCATATATTTGTGCTTTAGTTTAATCTACGTTTTTGTATTATCATCTTATAGCGATAAATTTTAGTTATTATCAGACTGTTGATATAATTAATAAACTTGCTAGTGTGAATTATATTATGATTATTGCTAACCTGCCCCCTTGGTTACGTCCCCAGGAGTGCTATATCTCAAAAACGTACTAAGTAAATAGGATCGGGTACTCTAAGTAAAAATGTTCAGGTCCCCAAAAAACCTTACGAGAACTGAAATCGGGACCTTATATCTAATATATATTATATTATACATATATAAACTGCACCTAACTCTAAATTTTAATAGAAGTGGTTACATCACCCTTGTTAAAAATACTTATAAAAACTTATATTATAATCAATATTGTTTGAAGTGTAATTTCCGATTACCACTTCTTTATCAGATTTTAAAAATTCGATTAAAATGTCAATAGAATTTTCCCTGGCTAAAATATTCTTATAGCAGATGGTCGTTTTTTAGGATCTTTATCCCAAAATTTTTCAAAAGACCAACATAATATGTAGTCGTCCCTTTAATGAGAGTTGGCTTTAGTCCTTCGCAGATTATATAGATAATCTTAAATTATCATTAGTTAAAAAACACAGCACGTCTGGAAGAAATCATCCACGCAATCATTCCAAAAGAATAAATACCTGATGCTTTAGTATATGATTTTCCCTGTAAAAATTCGATAAGTTCCTCTAGATTCCTTATCTAAAGTTCTGTGAGTGACATTGCAAATTCTAAATCACCAATTTAAGCATTTCTGAAATATATTTCCACAAAGAAGTGCAAAGTAAGATAACAATCCCAACTTTTTTTCTCATGCCATTTGTACAACTTTGCAAAGATTTTTACGTAAAGAACCAGTCTTTTGATATTCCGTGACATTGTAGAAATATGGGGGCTTTTTTATTTCCACTAATTGAATCTGCTATTAACTTTAAAATTTGAAGTTTAAATATTAGAATAATAAATTCTTAGCTCAATAAAATTTAAGCGTTATCAAATAAACATAATACTTCTTTTTGAGTTCTTTGTAGCTATTTTTGATATATGAAATAATTTAAGTGCAAAGTTTTATTTTAAATAGAATCAATGTATAAGTATGTCCACTTGCTAAAATAAACAGCCGCAAATCTACCTTTTCCTATTTTTTCTTCGCAAAATAGAATCCATGGTATTGATAATTTTCTGACAATAATAATTTTTTTAAAAAATCATCAATACGATATTTCTACTGTTAACTACTTATTGGTATATTTTGCTTTTTGCAATCATTTAATAGCTCTCTCTTATTGGGTAATGTTCCTAAACTTCCATTTCGATAATATATAATTCTCCACCACTCAAATGCCTTTTTTCCATTCTTGGTTGTGCCTTTGCCATCTTCATAAAAAACTCCATTATTGTGCTGCGAAACAGAATAGCTGCCATTCAAGAGCCTATTCCTTTATAATAGCATTATCCAAGATTATTCTACCCATCAAAATCGTCATTTTCAGTCCATTCAAACGCTTTTCTTCGCCTTAGCTACCTATACGCAAAATCCAAGATTGGTTTCCCCCTGGGCATTACCACTTTCAGCAGATTTCAAGTATCATTCAAATGCCTTTTTTTTTGTCCATATCTATCCTATTTCTCTGTCCACAGTAACTAACATCAGGGCAATAATGATGATGTGTCATATTTGTAACACCAAAAAGCATATAAATATTTATTATGTGTCTGGAGTATTGATGCAGGGAATTATTTTCACAACTGTGGAAATAACAATCCCACAATTTAGCAATTTAGGCAAAAGTTACATTTTGATGCAAGAATTTGCAGGATAACAAAAATCAACTTTTGCATAAATTGCGAAATTACTAGGTTTGTTAAAGATCAATTCGCAACCATTGTGAAATTAAAAAATGTTAATAAAATCATTTCCGCAATATTTCATTAGTGAAATAATTCCCTTACATCATTAGTCCGGAGTACATGAAGATTATTACATAACAAACGTGGTACAAATTTGAACACGCGTGCGGGCACACAAAAAATTATAAATTACATTTTTGATAAGGTCATAATGATTTTTATGCAGATGCATCAAAAAGGCAACAATTTTGGTCAAATGCACAAAAACGTTGCTTTTATATCACTTGCATAGACACTAAAGTCCGTCACTACCCTCCGGACAACAATAATATAGATACAGTTTTTTTATATTACTTCTATGAATCCATAGGATAAAAATAAAAAAATTTCACCGGTTATTTTTAATCGCCTGTAACGCAAGCATACAATACAAATGATACGTATAATTTTTCCTGTGTCTCCTCACTTCTATATTTGTCTAATTCTTTAAATTGTCATTTATCTTCCACAATTGTACTATCATAGTCATTTTAATCTTACCTTAGTAGTATTAGGCATTATTATGTATTCATGGTGGCTTCATTCATGCAAGAGCTTTTACGCTCAAAATAACGCGTATACGCGCTTGCATAAATTTGTAATCATTACGCCTTGAGCAAATATGGGACCTACAGCGTAAGCGTTGAGATTCCCATGTTGACAATCTGTAAAATTAGAATGTATATAAGAGTGTGCCTTCATCCTTAGTTGAGGATAACATTCGCTCTCCTAAATTCCTCTATAAAATAAAGGTCATATGTATTTTCATTCTTTTTTATAATAAATGTCTAATAAATCATGAATACACGAAATCCATAATCTATTGCCCAATTTATGTGACCTTTCCCTTTCTAACCTCAACCATCGGAGTTAAATTCGGCATGACAACACCAAGCACTCCCTTACGATGGTTACAGTATGTAATAATAATGTTTGATAAGACCAATTAGATAATCAGATAATCAAATATAGTACTTTTCTTATTACAGAAGTTAGAATAGTGTAACCTATTTTCGAGAAATTATTGCTATGCTCTGTAAATAAAAAAAGTATTTTGATTATTTTTATTAGCGGAATCCTATAACTCCAATACAACTTACAATATACTTCTTTTTAAACTGTATAAATAAGTAGAATTAAATTGAAATAATCATACGAAAGTCTTCCTATGGACGTGAAATAAAAAATAATTATAACATATTAGCAATCAAAAATAGAATGGAAAAAATTCATTTTGTTGAAAAAATTTAAGTCAAAATAAAAAATAAAAAAATAAACGTATTGATTGATAATTAAAAAAAGAAAAAGTCGATGAAATTTTTCTTGTATTATATCCCCCTTTAAGCACCGGATTTAAAATTTATAGTATATCAATAGAACGAAGATAATGGACATTGACATTCTTATAACGAAATAAAAAAAGTGAAAATGTTCTATAATTTCATGTAATATGAAACTCGTTCTAAGTAAAACAAATAGAAATTATTAGTTGATATTTTTATTTTGAAGAGATTCTTAATGGTTATTAAATTTACCTGTCTGTCATTCACATTATCTATCTGATCACGCCGTTTATTGATTTATGTATTTATCTCATCCAGACTTCGCATGTTCGCTCTAAATAAAACAAATAGAAAATATTAAATGATAGTTTTATCTTGAAGCAATTATTAAACGATTATTAAATTCACCTGTATGTAATTCATAAATTTATTATCCACCCTATTAATCATACCACTTATTTCCTTACTATATTCATCGCATTCAGACTTCACATCTTTCCATCCCTCCCTAATCGATTTTCCTATGAATAATAAAACATTTGAACTTTCGGTTGAAAGCTTTTGAATAAGAGTTTCTAAACGAACTTTACGATCATCCCAATAAGCTTTAAATTTCACAAGTTGAAAGAGTATATGCATTAATTCACTCTCCACCGCTTCAATTTTCTCTATATCATCGGTACTAAGCATCGTTGCACTCTCCAATTCTCTATTTAATTTTTCCATTTTATAATAATAGATTTTATAGATAATTAGCACAACTAATATTAAGATAAATAATGGAACTATTACATATGTAGGTTGCAAAATTGCTAAAAACACGGCAATAGACAAACTTATCAACAATCCCTTTACAACTTTAATCCAGAATCGATAACTTAAAATTTCTTCTTCCTTAGTTTTAATCGAATTATTATTACTATATCTATATTTAGTCAATTTATTTTTAACACCTATGATTTCAACTTTTATACTCTCGAATTTATTTGTTATTCTTACGATCTGTTTCACATTAAAGTCGCATTCGTCTTTAAGACTATTAATAATCCTTCTTATACTATTGATATCATAATTTTTATCTAGTATAAAAAAAAAGGTTAGATTTGGTCAACTTTCAATAAGTATAACTATAGATATTCGAAAATGTCAGATAACATAAATGGTTTAATCGTAATTTTTATTACCTTCAAAAAATTGCCTTAAATTCGTTAGTCCATCAACATATAAGGTAAAAAGGGGTAATTTGGCGAATAGGGGTAATTTGGCGAATTGTAAAGAATTGTAAATATATCGCGATCCCATGATCGGATCCGAACAATTTCTATACCATTCGAATCCTCTTATTGAGAGGATTCGAATGGTAAAAAAATTGTTCAGATCCAATCATGGAGTCACGATATATTTTCATTTATTCATAATTCGCCATATTACCCCTACTTATAACACACACGTGGACTCCAACTTAAACCATAACACGACAAGTATGAACGTTTTATTTAGTACGCGAACGGTTTTGTGCGACTAATGTTGCTACAACATCTATACAGAACAATATATACCGGCAAATTTTACGTGTCATGTTATCTTGACTTAATTTTGTAACATTTTATACCATTTTGTAACATTTTTTTATTTTGCTGGTCTTTAATAAAAATTTATTCAAACATGAAAATTTCTTCTGCTAAAAGAGGTGATGCAATCAGTTCTGCACTTAAAAAGTTAAATGATTGCCCCCCGGGTCCAAACCTCCAAGTATTAATAGCTTGGCGAAAGACTTCAGTCTTTCAGAAACTACTCTTCGGCGCGCAGTTAGTAATGGTGGTCCCCCTAAACGTCCGGGTGCACCCAATGTTCTCACCAGTCACAAAGAAAATCAGCTTGTCAGCTACTGCATTAACATGCAGAAGCTCGAGTTTGGTTTAACAAAACGGGGGGTTAATTATTGCGTAATGGAAATGATGAAGTTAAATAAACGATTACACCTGTTTGGAGAAGATGGGCCAGGTCAAGACTGGTGGGAACGTTTCATGAGGGACCACCCTGAGTTATCCTTTCATGTTCCTCAAAACTTATCAGAGGCAAGGGCACAAAAAGTAAATAAAACTATTGTTGATGACCATTTCAAAAAACTTAAACAAATTATCAATGAAAATTCATTTGCCGCGGTACAAATATGGAAACTGGGTTCATCATTGTGCCTAAATTAGAAAAGGTTATAGCAAAAAAAGGCGCACGTCAAGTCCACAAAATTGCACATGGAAATTCCCATGACTATATTTCAGTCGCACCCACAATTTCAGCAGCTGGGTCTTATATTCCACCTTTAATAATTTATAAAGGCGTTCGTACGATTCCTGGTTTACTCGACGGAGCACCACCAGGAACCGTAATGGGCTTTACAAGTACAGGGTACATGCGTGAAGAACTATTTCAAATGTATATTGATCATTTTATTCGATCAATCCCTCCTACCCGACTAGTATTACTAATGTTAGATGGTCATAGTAGTTACATCAGTTATACAATTGTTGACTTTTGTTGTAACAATGGGATCCTTCTTTATGCACTTCCACCATATACAACCCATGTTCTGCAACCATCAGAAATTCCTTTCAGGAAACTAAAAAGTAAATATAGTAAGACATGCAAAAAATACAGTAATGAAAATAATAGCATGATAGTAACCAAACGAACCTTCGCAAGAGTCTTTGGTTTTGCTTTTCTTGAAACTTATACCCCACAAGCCATTTGTAATTCCTATAAAGCGACTGGAATTTGGCCGTTTAACCCAAAAGCTATTAGTCCTGACCGTTTAGACCCATCATTAGTAACTGAACAATTCAATATCTCACTTTTACCTTCATCTAGTCAATCTTCCAGTCAATCTTCTGCTCAAAAGCTTACTAATTTAAAGCATTTTCATTCTACTTATTCAAATATTAACCAACTAATAGAAGAAAATATAAAACTTAAGAATGAAAATGCTTTGTTAAAGTCACAAATTTCAGTAGCAAATGAAGAACTAAATATATACAAAGATCCTGGAACATCTTCTCTATGTTCAGTTCTTAAATACTCGGTCTCTCACATTCCAACAGAAAGTTCACAGTCAACTACAAAAGACCAGACAGGACTGATCTACCTTCTCCAAGAAAAAAAAAAAGACACTTCTATTTTTCTGACTCCTCACTAGTGAAGAGAGTTGGCACCAATTAGAAGAAGTAAACAGGGAAGTGAAACGTAAAGCTGACGAAGCAAGACGAAAAAAGGAGGTAGCAGCCCAAAAGAAAGCTGAACGGGAACTTTACTTGGCACAAAAAAACAAAAAGAGAGCCCAAAAGACTCTTGAAAAACAGAAAGATCATTAAATAAAAGAAAGGAAAGTAAAAAAATTATTTTAATTTTGATAATCGAAATTCGCCAAATTATCCCTTTGATCTTAAAATTGCATTTTTTAGTACTGTATACACAGCGGCGATTTTCATTTATAATATCCTTTTTTTTTTTTTATAGATCTATTCTAAATATGGCATAGTCTCGTGACTTCAAATATGTAAAATTTTATACAGGTCAATAAAAAGTTTAATCGATAGCATTGTTAACTTCGCCAAATTACCCCCTTTTACCTTATATATAATAGTAATATAATTATATATTATATATATATGTTATATATATTATATATATATTATATATAATATATAAGTATTTAATTTGGCGAACTCTTTCCGACAATTATCTGTACCAAAAATCCAAACACATTTTTTGTAAAAAACACAATAGCATTTAGTAAAAAATGGAGACACACTACTAGCTATAAGTCGGCAATTGTTATTTAGAGGTAGTTCTCATACGCTACCTGCTAACTTCTTCAGAGTTTATCACTCACCACTTGCACGGCACTTGTCATTTAGAAGTAGTTCTCATACACTACTTGCCGACAAGCCCAGAGTTTATCATTCACCGAAAAGAAAGTATAGGTGCCTACCCCTTTCTTAGAAGAAGATTAAGGAGTAGTTGAGTTTTTATATGGATGTAACTACTTTCCTTGAATACAAGTGGTTTCTCCCTAGGTGTTTTTTGCTTGGCCGGTCTTCTTCAAATTTTTCAACAAAAAGTGGGCGATTTGGCTTACCCCCTCCAAAAGATCGGCATTGTTTACCTCCCAAATTCAGATATACTCAGGAATGCAACCACATGTATTGTTTATTAGTAGATATAACACGCGATGTAATCTATGGATACAGGTTCTCCACATAACTAGGATTGGGTCTCTGGCATAAGAGGTATTCAGAGGTGGCCAGTAGTCGGATATTAAGTTCTTATATTGTAATCAAGATATACAAACATTGTAGTTGTTATAAAATTTTTTTTTAAACCTGGCACAGGTTATAATAATGCATTTTTTCTTCTTGTTCTGTTTTTTTTATCTCATTTCCCTTATGCTATTTCTTTATAGAGGTAGTTCCCCCTCTTTGTTAGCCCTCGAGCTTTTCTCTTTGTGTTTCTTTTTTTACATCTCACTGTACCCTCCTTTTTTTTCCTTTAAAATACCCCTTCATTCTATGTATTTTTTTTTAGTTAGGTTTTTGTTTTGTTTTCTTGATAGTATTGGTGGTTTTGTATAAGATCATTACTTTCTTTTGCTCTCGGTAAAGAAAAGAGATATGAAGAGAAAAGCTTTGACAGGCTAACAAAGTTTATCTAACTTGTATACAGGTTGGTGCGACAAGTCGCATATGGGCACGTTTATCATAGCCGGATGATGTCAGGCTCACTATCGTGATAACCCCCTGTTTGTAGTTATGAATGATACATGTATTGTTCGAAAGAGCTCAGTTCTTACCTAAATATAGTTGCAATAAATTGAGTACTGGCAAGACTGTCAAAGATTTAAAATATATATATATATATATATATAAGTATAATATAAGAGTTTGCCTAACTCCCACCCCCCTAGAATATTATGTAATAAATATCACTACCCTTACTATAGTATAGTACTTTATTATAGTATCTTAGTATAATATCTTAGTATAGTATTTTAATATAGTACTTTAGTATAGTACTTTAGTATAATACCTTAGTATAGTATTTTAGTATAGTATCTTATCATAGTACTTTATTATAGTATCTTACTATAGTACTTTAGTATAGTATCTTATTATAGTACCTTATCATAGTATCTTATTATAGTACTTTATCATAGTATAGTATCTTCTATATTTTATATATATTTTATATATCTGTTGAAAAAGCTATATAAACTCTAGCTTTTCCTCTTCTTTGTATTTTAGAATTTGTTCCCTACAATCTTGAGTTATTAGGATTTTTTAGGTATAGATATCTATAGATAGCTTTATATCTTGATATTGTACTATAAATAAATATATTCTAAATAAATATATATCTTTGCTTGGATCTTTTTTTTTTTTTTTTTTTTTATTAATATAATGTCATAGTAGAAACTTTATTACAGTCAGTCCGAAGATTGAAAGTTAT